TTACCCATTCAGGAAGAGTAGTTCACCTGCCTCTTTATCGATACGATTCCTCAAGACTATTCAGCAATTCAAGTCGGTATTGCTGTTCGATGACAAGAACTACTGCGGCCGAGTTGATTGAATGGGGGACCTCAAAACTTTAGTGACCGGCGAAAAACTTTCCGTAACATTTAAGTGCTGCAACTCCCTACTGAACCGTCGGATTAAACTCCGAATTGTGGTCTTCTGCGAAACGAGATTGCTGAATAAAATGAACTCTGGACCTACACTTTTTTAGGAAAGTAATTAATTCTATTTAAAATATTTCAGAGAAAGAATGTAGTGGCGACCTTGTTTGATCAAAAAAGCTCATAAATCTTTTTCAAGAATGATTTTTCGTCAAAGAGCCCATCGGTCAGGGCGCTCTTACTATAGTGCAAGATCACCCATACCAACCTCAGGACACATCGGCTGAGGAACATGTCTATAATTCATGATATGGCTGTCACGCTCATAAACATCGATTTTATGTGACAAACGTAGGGGAATTGGAAAAAAAGAGAAATGCTTTCCCAAATGGGACTAGAAGAAGTAATGCCATGGGCAAGACGTGACAAAGAGCGAGTACAAGGAACGCAAACACGCAAACGAGTTGCACAAAAATAAAACAAAAATTCTAAAGAAAAAGTAAAAAAAGTATCACTATTTANACACGCAAACGAGTTGCACAAAAATAAAACAAAAATTCTAAAGAAAAAGTAAAAAAAGTATCACTATTTACAACTTTTACCATCAATTATTTCGCTCAAGGAGGTGTTCAAAAAATAATAATCGCCACAGATAATAAAATGGAAAAAGAAGAAACTCACTGATCCGTGTATCTCGTCTGAGACGCTGGCGATAGAGTCGACGTTGTAGTCCGTACTGAAATCGGCGTCACGTTATATGGTGAATTCGTGTCAGGTGTCGAGACACCGTATATCAATAAAGCATTCTCATCGCGTCGAGACCGTCTTGGCAAGCTACAGTAGGACCGTGGATGTCCCACGGCTACACCATACATGCTGGGGATTGTCGACGGCTGGTGGCTTGTGAATTTCACACGGGCGCGTTACCACTGTTCGGGTGGGATCGGAGGCGGTCGTAAGACAGACCACGCCCATCAAAGAAGACACCGTCGACGTTGTCGTCTTCTCGTTGTGGTGGTCAGTCCGAGGGCTAATCACATTGAGGAGCCGCCCTTCAACAGCCTTATGAGTCAATTGTGACGGGGTCCTTTATTAAGCATAACTAACCGACCCACTCACCGTCGGCCGTCGGCCGTCATAAGTGCAATACAGCAAGCTCTTCTTGATTAGTCATGGCTAAAGACAAGTAATGGATTGGACTTGCACGCATTCCCGCATGGAGTAGTCGTACTTAAACTTATAGAACACTATTGGGAGAAGTGTGAGGGCTTCGGACGCAAGGATTTCCCTTCTCTTTTCAAAGTCCAATTAAAGGAATAAGATGGCTTGCCCTTCGATCACGGAGAAGCAACACAATTGTCATGGGAGGAGAAAGTGGAAAAGTTTCGAAGGCTATCACTGGGAGCTATTCTTACCAGAGGTTAAACGGATCAGATAAAAAACGCCAAACTGTGGTAAAAGCGAATTCCGTCCGGTTTCAATCGATACTCCTATAATTCATCAGCGAAAGCGCCTAGCACCTAAGCATAACTAGCTGATGTGTACGTATCATTACCAGGAAACCAGGAAATACCATAAAGTATCTCTGCAGCAACATGACGGAGAAATATAATGGACAGACGAGAAACTGTTCTGCAGCCTGCAAGCTTCAAACGCTGCTCATCCAAAAAAGGAATGTATTGAAATTCAAATTTCCAGTGCAACCTTGGCCAACAAATACTGCCTACCCAGTGTTGGGCAGAGATAAAACAGCCGAGCTGTGCTTTCTGAACCCTTTCTACCCCAACTAAATAATCTAGCTCTCCATCCCATAGTGGCCGTTTCACTACTATCAGATCTATACCTCGATCATGATTTTCACGACTTATCAGAGGAATTCTCTAGGATACCTGATGGAAGCCATCGTGGGCCACTTTTCAAGGAATTCGATCACAGCTAACCTATTCGGGTTCCTTTTTTCTGAGTACGAACCAGTCTTATTCTTTCCATGGACAACTAAGCTCCTGTAAGCCGTTTTGAAGGTTTGCTTTCACTGAAGTCATTCAGCTTGGGAACTTAAGTATCCAAGAACCATCTTCAGGCCACCACGAAGGAAGACGGCACTCGAAGATTGAAGCAGATCCATATTGCTAACATCCCACCCGGTGTTGCCGTTGCCCCACGGCCTCTATGAACTTCCGCATTTCATTCACCCGCTCTTCCTTGCAGCCGCCACTTTGACAGGCTGGAAGAAGGTTCTGGCGAGGATGATGTTCCCTGCTGGAGAACTCTTCATCATGGTTAGTCCGAAGGGGATAAGGAAATCTACCTCACAATACAGATCACTTCAGCGAAATTGCTCTCAAGCGTCCTAATGTTATGATAACCCTCGACCTCACCTCACCGCCTATTTGTGAAGATGTACAACTCTCAACAAATAAACAAATAGCGCACTCAGTTGTTCTGACCCTCTCAGTTTCCGCCATCACCAAGGGAATGTAGACATCGAAAAGACAACTTAGCCCCGAATCATACCCAATAGGGAAACCGGATTCTATTGATTCTTTTGACAAAACCACCGGCACTCCGGCATTCGAAAACGGAGGCATTCCGCCGCCACTTGTCGTAACCTCATATCCCCGACCTTTGAACCTTGCCGACCAAAGGAAACATTTAGAACAAATGTTGCGCAATCACTTCCAATACACTCAACCTGACCCTGTGTTACTACAACAACACCGTACTCNTACTTAAACTTATAGAACACTATTGGGAAAAGTGTAAGGGCTTCGGCCGCAAGGATTTCCCTTCTCTTTTCAGAGTCCAATTAAAGGAATAAGATGGCTTGCCCTTCGATCNTTTTTTTTCCATTGAGTAGGCTCAAAAAATTTTCTTATTGTCTGATCAATTTTCCCGAATTCTAGAGAATCTCATACTGCCTTTCCACTATTCTTCCCCAGTGAAAAAATGATTCGCGGTGGTAGTGAGAAAAGATAAATCAACGTAGACGTTTGGTTATTCCTGTCCGCGTTCTGTGAGTTATTTTTAATAGAGTTTTGCCCAAAATCGTCACGCTGACGGAAGTAGGATCACTTTGTTCTAGGCACGAATAAACGATGAGCCAATAAATATCGCCATAAAAAAGGAGGCCCAAGGTCGATCTGGCGTCACACATCAAACGCTACCGGATGTGACTTATATCAGGACCATGGGATTGGATTCACTATCAAAACACCGAGGGTCAGAGCTCAAATTGTCGACAAACCTAGACCGGATACTATTGAACTGCGAAAAGATAGAAATGAACCAATCTGCACAACATAGGGGAACGGGATGCGAGGATTAAGAATAGAAATTAATATAAAAAGTTCGCTATTGATTGTGTAAAAGGAAAAAAAGGACGAAAAAGTTATTTTAAGAATGAAAATGCCCTTGCACATCAAAATCACACCGAAACAGCCTTCAAAAAAGAAACGTCGATTAATTAATCCCCTTCAATTTTCAAAAAAAAAAATCTGAGCCCAAGAATCGAAGCCTCAAATAAGCCCCTAATAGGTTTCCGGCCATGAGTCAAAAGGATTCTTCCTTCACTGAGCCAATTTTGAGCAGCTGAAGACTCGAAAAATCACGAAAAAGCATTCAAAAAACGAAACGACTAAATAGTTTCTTACTAGTTAAAACCAAGCATCAATCCAAATTGAGGTGAAACACTTGACTGCACGTGCTTGGTTAGCATGGCAAGAAAAGGAAGGAGTTTAATGGACAAGAAACGTGATCCACGGAAAGGCCTCAAAGCACTCGATATATGCATTCTTTTAGAGGTAGGAAAGGACAAAATGGATTTTTTCGATGAATGGGAGCCGATTGGTCCGAGAAGCTGGCTTTTAGCTGACCAGGACAGAGCCATTTCTTAAATGTTGTATAAAGCCATGAAGCTGATTGCATATAAATCAAAACAAAGATCTACTCATGCCTCAAATGCTTTAGCGTCATGACACCTAAGGAGAACCTGAGTGGAAAAAGTGTTGTTTTCAATTTTTTTTCATTTTTTTGTATGCGGATGAGTGTGTCAAAGGCTAGGCATAAACGTAAATAAATAAATAAATAAATAAATAAATGTATCCCAAATATTATATGTAAAAAAGAAGTATATGTAAATATATGTAGCAAGAAAGTGTCAGAAAAAAAGAAATTATTACAAGAGAAATGTGGTAAGAACCTGAGAAGCTAATACAACAAAGTCTTAGGAAATAACAAACACTCAGAAAGTTTACGAATATATTTCGAAACTTAGAACCTATACACTTACACAGATAACATTTGAGTAAACAGAAACAAAAATAAAAACAAAAACAAACAGGCAAGCTCTGCTAAGCAACAAACCTGCTGTGATAAGGACATCTCATATGAGTTGTACTTAGGCGGTGCTGTGGTGGAGGTGAGTAGTAGGTCCCGTGATGACAATTCTGAAAGACAACGTGATTGTCGTCGAAGTCGCCGCCGCTCTCGGACGTAGTCTGACTCAGAATCAACACAAAAACCGCTTTTGAGCTTTACATCAAAGCGCAGACCGGCTGCTATATAGAGGCAATAACATCGTACAAGTCCTTTTCAGCGGTTTTACGATTACTTCCATTTTCTGACAGAATCTTTTTTTTCCTAAGCCCGTTTTGGTTGGACATTCTAGGACTCAGTCATCCTGCTTCTTT